TTTGCTTGTTTCTTGTTTTGGGGGTTTAGGGTTTAGGGATTCAACGGGCATCTTTATATATATATATATATGTTTGGTTGATCTGGGGTTTCTGTGAGGGCTGCTTGTTCTCTGGGTCTTGCAGGCTTTCTGTATGGTTTCGATGGTTTTGGAGGGTTTCAGGGTGCCGCCAAAGACCGAGCTGAGCCAAGCCGTTCAACTCCTAAACGGTACAGCCCTGAACCTGGAAAGCTCTCCGAAAGGTCTGCTGCTGCCCGCTGCTGCTCCGGTGCGAGCTCCCTCCAAACGAGCGCATCGGCTGCGGCTTTTGTATGGGCTCGGGCTGGCATTCCGATTCCGAGGCGGGGAAAGATGCTATGGGGGCCTAAATAATTACCAATCCTATTTTGGGGGGTTCCTTACTATAAATATAGCATGATATACCCTCAAACCCTATTCTAATGATTCAGGCCCCTACATTACTTAGTCAAAAAATAGCCTGTTTGACTGACGCACCTGGTACTCCAAGCAGTGAAATCGGGCACACTAAACCCTAAACCCTAAACCCTAAATCCTAAATCCGAAGCCCTAAACCCTAAACCCTAAACCCTAAATCCTAAACCCGAAGGTGGAGGAAGAGACCGAGAGGCTCCTGAAGAAAGCCGGACACCCTGAGCAGCAGGAAATGCGCCACCTTCAGCACTAATGTAGGGGCCGAATAAAAAATTAGAATAGGGTTTTTTTGGGGGGTTACTCGTATATTATCCTAGAATAGGGTTTTTTGGGGGCCTAGTATGCTAGAACAGGGGTTTTTGGGGGTATATTGTGCTATTGTACGTAGTTATAATCAGGAACCTCCGACATAGTCTTGGTAATTATCTAGGCCCCCACATTAGCAGGCTTGTGGAGCCCAGGCACAGCAAAATGCTGTGCTGTCCATGCACGCAGGGAGCACAACGAGGCTCCTTGTGCATCTTGCGCTGCACGGTGAATGCAGCCCTGCACCCACTTCCTGGGCTGAGCAGACCCGAGAATTGGACGTGCTTTCGTTTGTAAGCCAGCACTGTGCCAGTTGCACGCACATGTGCAATGAGATGCTGCTGGATGAAAAGCTACTGGTGCTCCCAAGAGGCTCTTTCTGCACATGGGGTCACTGTGAGGGGGGGGCAAGCATGAACGACGGTGCTACACGGACCATGCTGCAAAGGCAATCATAGATAGTGTGCGGCACGGCACTAGTGCATGTCGCTGCTTGCTTCGTATGACAAGATTGCAGTCACCCCGCAGCAAAGCCGAGTCCCGCAACTTCGAAGAACTCGGCTTGACACACTACCTAAACCCTAAGCCCCAAGGAGAGTCTTGAGAAGACAGTACCGATCCCTAAACCCCAAACCCTCAACCCTGAACCCTAAACCCTGAACCCTATAAGCCCTATAAGCCCTATACGCCCGATTAGCCCTATAAGCCCTATGAGCCCTATAAACCCTAAACCCTAGCCCTAAACCCTATAAGCCCTATAAACCCCATAAGCCCTATAAACCCTATAAATCCTATAAACCCTATAAATCCTGGACCCTAAACCCAAAAAGCCCGATAAACCCTATAAGCCCTATAAGCCCTAAACCCTGTAAGTCCGATAAACCCTATAACCCCTACACACCCTAAACCCTAAACCCCCCTAAACCCTGAATCCCTGATCCCTAAACCACCCTAAACCCTGAATCCCTAAACCCTAAACCCCTAAACCCTGAACCCCTAAAGATCCTCAGCCGCGAGCCCGAGCCTAAGCGGAGTTCCCAGAGACAACCGGCACTGAGCTCCAAGCATCTTCCCGACCACCCCGTAAAAAGGAGTCCCTTTTTGAAGTTTTCCATAAAAAAGGGGATACCCTAAACCCTAAACCCTAAACCCTAAGCCCTAAACCCTTTTTGAAGCTTTCCATAAAAAAGGGGGATACCATATAAGGGTTCTAAGACAGGGTTCCCTTTAAGGGCCTCCATAGGGTTCTATAAGAGGGTCCCCTTTAAGGGACTCTATGGGGTTCTATAATAGGGTCCCCTTTAAGGGGTACTATGGGGTTCTAGAACAGGTTTGAGGGATTCTATAGGGGTTCTAGAGTAAGTAGGGTCCCGTTTATGGGAAGCGTCAGAAAGGTAGCCTGAAAGGAAACCTGGAAGGTAGAACTTCGGCTGGCCTTGCAGAGAGCGGGTCGCAGCTTGGGCCAGGCGAAGGACGGTTTTTTTGTTTTTGTTTTTTAGTTGCTTTGTTGCTTTGTGTGGGGGTGAAGTTCGGGGGTCTTCAGAGGGCGAAAGGGTTGTGGGGTTGAAGATCTGGTGTTTCAGGGTAATAGCTGGAGTTCGGGTGAAGTAACCTGGGCCGTACTTGGTTGGATCGCAGGGTTTCGGTAGTACCTGGGCTTCTGGGAAACCCCTAAACCCTAAACCCCGAAACCCCACCGGAGGCCTCGAAGCCCGATTCGGAGCCCGTTGCCCTGGGGCCATCTTCGACCCCCAAATTGAAGCCTAGGCAGAGGTGTGGAAGAACCCGGGTGCCGCAAGTTTGTTGTAGTTTGCATAGAGAGATGGGTTTAGGGTCTAGGGTTTAGGGGAGTACTATGGAAAATCTTAGACTTGGCGATATACTCCCCCCCAAGGAAGGCCTAGCTCAAGCCTTGAGGCCACTTTGCTTTGCACTCTTTGTGGCAGCCTTTGCAGCAGCTGCCCTTCTTGTTCCCTTTTCGACTCACAAAGAATCTTGCAAGGGAGAGCTGCTTGTAGAGCCTTTAAAGCAACGAATTGCAGTAACCCTCACTGAAAGCCCTTAACCTAAATCCCTAAGCCCTAAACGCTAAATCCCTAAATCCTAAATCCCTAAATCCCAAAACCCCTATAAACCCTAAATCCCTAAAGCCCCTAAACCCCCTAAACCCTTACAGAAAGCCCTTGAGAAGCGGAGCCTTACACCATCGTTGGGCCCGGAGGACGGCCAGGAGCCCCGGGCCAGTGCCCGGCGCTGGCCGGATGCCGGGGATCCGCTGCGGGGGCAAGTCTGCAATGGCGCCACCCCCGGGGGCTTCAAGTTTTCAAGGGGCTTCTTATGAGGTTTGCCTTTTTTTGGAGGGGTATGGGGGGGGGTTCATGAGGGTTTTATGAAAGGTTTTTTTAAAAGGGGTGGAGGATCACCCAGGCTTGGAACCGAGGACGCTGACGTGTTTGGCCAGCCGTGCGAGACGGCGCCTCCCGATAAGTCTGCAGGTGTTAGATGTCCACTCACCTTAAAACAAAAAGAGGCCCTCATGTCTGGATTACACATTGGACGACAACAGCCCCAATGCTCCACGCCAACGTCTCCTGACTTATTAGTGTCTCTCCATTCTCTATTGGCAAGTGGTTACAAAGATGTCTTCTGTGTCGTGTGAGCTGCATCAACCACCCCAGGAGACTCCTTTCTGACCAAGCGTGTCCCCCGATAGAACCGAAATTCTTGAGCCTGCCATCGTTTCACCCGACTTCCAAACCACAGCGCACTGAATTCAAACCAAAGCTCCCGTCAATTTAGACTCCTCAACTTCGGGGAACCTTCCAACAAATGGAGCCCCTTGAAAGCCCTTGCTAGAACCTTTGTGGAACCCGTTTCGAGCCGTTCTAAACGCTCCCCTAAACCCCTAAACCCCTAAACCCTAAAACCCTAAACCCCTAAACCCCTAAACCCCTAAAGCCCTAAACCCCAAGAAAGAGTTCACAGCCTTGAGGGCTACTGCCGGAGTTGAGCGCCAGTGGGAAGCCGGTGCTTTCCCCGAGCTGCAAGCACCATCCCAGGCCCTGGGCCTGAAGATTTCGAACATTTAGGTCCTTATACTAAGGATCCTACTATTTAGGGTACTGTATTAGGGTTCCCTTGAGCAATTTGGGGGCCTGAAGATTTCGAAAATTTAGGGGTTTAGGATTTAGGGGTTTAGGGGTCCAGGGCCAGGGTTTAGGGGTTTAGGGTTAAGGGTTTAGGCGGGGTAAGTTAGTTGAAAAAACCCATGCCCTGGAGCAATATGGGAGTTTCCGGAAATTAGGGTACCTCATTCTAGGGTCCTTATACTAAGGATCCATTTAGGGGTACTGTGTTAGGGTTCCCTAATTTTCGGAAACCCCCATATAGGGGCCTGAAGATTTCGAACATTTTTGAGAAGAGCACTGGGGTAAATTTCACCTTAGTTGTAGAAGGACTATAAAGGGGATCCAATTTTGCTAGGCAGGGTCTGGGGTTTGCGTTTGGATGGTGATGCCATATCATGAGGAGCATTGTCAATGTTAAGGATTAGTGTTCGTATCGCCGCTAGCACGACGGGTGTTGTGGTTGTTAGCAGCACTCATCGCTTCCTGCTGTCACTACAGGTAAGGTACTTCGCTATACAAAAGCTATCGTTGCTACGGTACTGTGCATGATTCCTGTGAGTGTTGGCTGTAACTACTCCTCTCTGGTACCACTAGCACTACTTACCTTGCTGGAATGGGCAAGACCTGGAGGTTCCACACCTTAAGTGGGAGGATTGCAAGAACTTGATAGTGCTACCTGATTATACGTCTCATCACTAAGTCTCCGCAGTAACCTCATTGGCATCAGGTTCATCCAGTTCTCGTACCCTGGCTGCCACTTGCGGTCCCGATCCCTGCGCCCTGAACAAGAAGCTATGCAAAGCTAACTTCTGTCACATCCTGCTGGCAGGACGACCATCGATTTGCTTGGGCCCCTCCTGCACGAGTGGCAGAGGCAAGGGGCCGCACGCGCACATATTCGGTTGTCTGTTTCATTGCTACTTGATGTTGGAGGTGGGTAGCTCTCTAAATTAGGGTCCCGCTGTAGGGTCCTTTTTTATGAAGACCTGCCGCTTGTTTGTGGGGGGACCCATGTTGCAGCAATTCTACCTGGGCCCTATAGGACCTAGCTTTCCTGGCCACACTTTGGCTCAAGTGAATCGAGTCCTGGTGCAGCGCTGTTGGACCGTCCCTCAGTGCCGTTGTAGCGAAACCATGAGCAGCGATGCAAAGATGGAAATCAGCGAGGCGGCAAAGTCTGGTGACGGTACCCTTGCCAACGTCGGCATCAAGGTGAACGGGAAGTTCAAGTCACCCGTAACTTAGTAGCTGAATGGGTAGGCTTTAAACTTTTTGGGATAATATGAGCCCTTATAGAACTGAAAGTGTGCACTTTTTTTGTGCTTATGAACTCAGCAGCTAAGGTCAACAACCAGTTGTTTGACACAAAAGAGGCCCTCGATCTCCACTTGAAGTACCTTCACGACCCGAAGAAGGTCAACCCAAACGTCGAGGAATGAAGATCTTCTCCTTGGTTGATCTTGTACGTCGCCACGCGGCGGTGGCTCGCCGTGACTCGATGTCTTGTGACGTTTTTAACCGTCACTGCTCGCGAGTGATTTTTTGTTTGCTGCGCCTCCTGCGCTACGGCAAGGCGCTTTGCACCACCAGTTGCGATCCAGATACCTGCTTTCCGCTTGATGTGGAGGCTACTCTGGACTGCTGTACTCTCCGTTCTGCAGCCAGAGACATTTCGTGACACAAAAAGCCGCCCTCAAGTCTCTGTGCAGGAGCGAGTTTACGATCCAAGTATACTCTACTCAGTGCATGGGACCCTTGGTCCAGTCTTTAAAGTTGCAGTATGAACCCTAAGCCCTAAACCCTAAGCCCTAAACCCTAAACCCTAAACCCTAAGCCCTAAGCCCTAAGCCCTAAACACTAAACCCTAAACCGCCCCAAACCCAAGGGTGTGCCCCCGCTCTTTTTGAGGCATTTCCTCCCCGCGCTTCGCCTTCACACGGCTCGGCCCCGGCAATTTGGATGCACCCTAAACCCTAAACCCTAAGCCCTAATGTAGGGGCCTAAGTAATTAGAATAGGGTTTTGGGGCAATTATATTATATGTATAATAATTTAAGGAAACCCAAAACAGGCCGGAAAAGATTAGACCCAAACCCTACCAAAGCATCCTTGATCACCCATAAGCCTGGGCAAACAGCCCTAAACCACTGCTGCTTCTGTGTAAGAACACCTTCTCGGTTCGGAAGAAAGTGTTAGAGAAATAGACTAGGGTGCTGTAGGTAGTGTTTAGGAAGTTTGGGGTTAAGGGTTTAGGTTTGGTCTGAAACCTGTGGGGGCTGAGGGCCCCAACCTTTAGATGTTTCAGGCTGGGGGAGTGGGATTGGGTTTAGGGCTTTCGGCTGTTGAATTAAGGCTTCAGGGGGTCTTGAGCCTCACCCTAACCCTAAACCCTAAACCGTGAGCACTAAACCCTGAACCCTAAACCCGTGAGCCTAGGTAGACTTTAAGGTGATCATCTGTCAGAACTCCAACCCTTCAGGTGGTGCTGACCTCGAGGTCGCAGGGGCGGCACCAGAGAGCGAGATCAAGGCGAAAGGAAAGATCTAGGGCGCCAGGGACCATGGGACCCGCAACGCCCTAACCCCACCCCCCCCGATTTATCAATTTAGGGTTTAGCGTTCAGGCCCTATAACGATTACCTATAGTCTCCATTGTAGTTCCTTTTTGGGATTACCTTTGAGGATCCCCAATCTAGAATTGATTAAACCAAAAAAAGGAACTACAATGGAGACTATAGGTAGAATAAGTTTTGGGCCCATTCTATCTGCTCCGATCCCTACCTGCAACCATGCCAGGGCTTGCATGTGTTGAAGCTCCCTGCTCCAGATGTCGGGGCTTTGGCTGGGGAGTGCCGTGGAACTTCAGGCTTCGTAGGTGTCTGGGCCTAAGGGGGTCAGACGTTAAAGGTCGACAAAACCTAAACCAGCGTAGCAAAGTTTACGGCAGGGGGGGGAGGGTTTACGGCTGAAGGATGGAGGTGTAGCAGGGTGTAGCAGTGTAGCAGACCGAGCCATGCTGGCATGGCCTCGGAAGCTTTGAACGTGAAGGGGTCAGGGGTTAGGGCTGAGGGCTTAGGAAACCCTAAACACCAAATTCTGGAGGGTTTAGCATTTCCGGTGTTGCAAAGAAGTAAGTATGGTTAGTCCAGTCTTCGGGGTTTGGTGGGATGGTCCGTATGGGAGTTCCAGCGAATAGTCGATCCTACTATAGAACCCTGCCCCTACATGATCGTATCATAATTGTTATATATACGCTCTTAATAAAGCACCGCTTCCCTGAAACCCCAACATGAAGGGTCGCTTGAGTACGAGAGTCTCTGTATACGGATACTCCAGCCTGCTACACTCACATGAAGCAACAGGAAAATGCGCGTATACTTAGCGTCCACGAGCTAAACCTCAACCTGAACCCTGCATCCTCAACGGTAAACCGTTTGTTTACGTCTAAGCAGAGGTCCCACATCTTCAGGAACCCCTAGACTATAGACAAGCTGCAAAAGCACACCCACCTCGACAAGCCGCGCCCGTGCAGCATCGTCCTTTTGGAAAAACGATGAGCATGTCCCTAGACCCTAAACTCTGAGCCCTAAACCCCATAAGGTCCTAATCCCTACAGTAGTGTTGGTTTCCAAGGCCTTTCTTGCTTGGAAGCTTTGAAGAAGCATGCAAAAACCCTTTCTTGGTATGACCAGCTGGTGTATGTGGCGGGTCTTTTTGCAGTTCCGCATTTGGGGTCGCTGCAGGCATGCATGCATGCATGTATGTATGTAAGTGCATGCACATTAGGTACATATATATATACATACATACATACATACATACATACATTTGCACAATCATATATGTGTATGCACGTGCGAGAGAGACCGAGTCAGAGTGTGTGTGTGCGGGTACCGCTGCCTTCGGCAGCTGCAGTTTCGGCAGCTTGGCCACAGAGCCCGTCATTGCTTCGTGCACGAAATGCTATTGACGGTAGGGATTCGGATTCAGGGCTCTTAGGGTTCAGGGCTTAAGTAAACCTTAAAGCATAACTTAACTGTCCACAGGCCGACACAAAGTTCTCATAAAATAAAGTCCAGGCGCTTTGCGACAACCAGCCCGTTCTCAAGAGACTGGTCTGCGGATCCTGGATCGTAAACCATATTAAACCATCTAAACCCACAAACTGGGAGGATCGATACACTGACCCGGTCATGAACCGCTGACACTTGCAGCATGTCGAGCCAAAAGCTTGCAATGGACTGGAGCTGACATCCATGCAAGCTCAAGCTTGCAGCTATAATTGATCGTCAAAAAAAACGCTAAACCGCTGGATCAAAGCACGGTAGGTAGGGTTTTAAACTCGGGCTTCGGGCAATTCCTAAACCCTACCTACCAGGAGCTCGAAGTGCGCCACCTCGAGGTTTATGGAGAGCTCCTTCTGCCTAGGACCCTAAACCCTAAACCGACATGGCGAGAAACGAGTCGATGACTGGGGTGTTCCCAACCCAGCGGTTTAGGGTTTTTTGGTTGGGGGGTTTAGGGTTTAGGATCTGGGGCCTAGGGTTTTGGGGCTTTGGGCTGTAGGGTTCAGGATCTAGGGTTTACGGTGTAGCATTTAGGGCTTGGGCTTTAGGGATGTGCCCTAAACTCTAAACCAGGCTTGTACCGTTTGGGCTTGCCGAATGGATTGGGCTGCCTTCTTAAAGAAGGAAGCGGCAGAAAGCATGCACCTGCAAGATTTCGGGGGCCCTTGCCTCTCAGGGCTTGGAGGCGGAACCCCTAACCCTAGACCTAAATCCTAAACCCTTGTAAACCCTATAAACCCTATAAACCCTTGTAAACCCTAAACCCTTAAAAACCATAAACCCTTATAAACCCTAAACCCTATAAACCCCAAACCCTTATAAACCCTAAACCCTGTAAACCCTAAACCCTTATAAACCCCAAACCCTGTCTAAACCCTAAGCCCTTATAAACCCTAAACCCTATAAACCCTCAACCCTTATAAACCTCAAAAACCCTATAAGCCCTAATAAACCCTAAACCCTTATAAACCTTATAAACCCTATAAGCCCTAAACCCTCCAAAGCCTAAACCCCTATAATTCCGAAACTCTGATGCCGCAGTGCGGAAGCTGTCTGTAGAGCAGGAGTTCATAATAAGGAACCCCTAAAATATGCATTTTTTAATTCCTCCAAGCCCTATAGTGCCCTTGAAGAAGTAGGTTGGTAATTAGTATCAGAGCCTTAAGTGCATGGTGCCACGTAACAAAAGTTTCCGACGCTTTTGTACACCTCCGTCCTTCTTCAACCGGCTTCGTAACCTTGACTTACCCCGCTCAGAACTGCCACAGTCTGAGACCGAAACTAGAGCTTCCAGAAGAGTGGGTTTAGGGTTTAGGGTTTAGCACAGAGGCTCGCCTGTCATTCTGGGTCCCAGTAGGGCTTGGTGCACACAAGACCTGCAAAAGTCCGAGATGAACAACTTTGGTATGCAATCTGTGCAGCGCAAACCTAACACTGTGCCTCTGTGTTTCTGCTGATCCTGCGCGTCGCTCGCACCTGCAAGTCCTAGAACCTACCTCAGAGCTGGCATGAGATCGCACAAGCTCCTTGACATCATTCAACGCGAGGAGTCGTAGCCTTTGAGTCGTATATGCGGGTACGATAGGGGTTTAGGGGTTTAGGGGTTCAGGGGTTTAGGGGTTCAGGGGTTTACAGTTTACAGAACCTGTTCAAGGCAACGGCTTGTTTTTTCTACATTTAAGCAGGTTTATACACTTCTTAGTATTAGGGTGTCGGGTTTAGGGGTTAGGGGTCTAGGGTTTAGTCATACGGTTTAGGGTTTATAGAGTTTTAGGGTAGAACACTCAGTTAGACTTAGTTGTAACTTTTTTCTCGTAGATGTAACTTTTCAGCTTTTTCAGCAAAATGACTTAGTTGTAACTTTTTTGGCCTCTGGAAACAGCTTTTCTCTGCAGAAGGGTGCAAAACAGGCATCTTAGCTTTTAGGGTGTCTTTAGCACCAAGTCACTAAATCTTAATGGTGAAATAGTTGTTTCCGTCAAGGGTACCTGCTGGATTCACTACTTGGGGTTTTCGTCTTCGACAAGGTTCCTGCTGGATTCACTCCTTATGGTTTTCGTCATCGGGAAAAGGTTCCTCTTGGATTCACTTCACTGAGTTTTGCCTTGAGAACTCACTTCTTTGGGTTTTCGTCTTGGCTTAAAGTCTCCTGCTGGGTTCACTCCTTACGGTTTTCGTCTTCGGCCAAGGGTTCCTGCTCAATTCACTCCTTATGGTTTTCGTCTTCGGGAAAAGGTTCCTGTTGGATTCACTCCTTAGGGTTTTCGTCTCGGGTATTCACTCCTTGGGGTTTTCGAGTTGGGCCAGGCGCGCATGATTGGCTCAATGAGCTCGTTCCATTCCCTCCTCTGACTTTGACTGCCGGGTTGATTGG